TGAACTTTGAGTGTCTTCACTTTTTTCTTTTTGCAGCTTTCTTTTCTTCTCGTATTCAACTTTTTTTTTTTCATCTTTTTGTTGCTTCGTTTCTGCATTTCTTCTTGTATTTTTTTTCTTTTTTTTTGCTGCTTTCTTCTTTCCTCTTTCTCATGAGTTCTTCTTCTTCTCTTCTGCTGCTCGGCAGCCACCAGCCTGCAGCAGCAGAATCCTTGTTGCGTGAGGCTGCTGGTGCTGCTGCTGCTGCTGCTGCATCTGTACATCCTTTATCTTTTATTTTGCAACAAAAAGAAGTTTCTTCTTCGAATTATAATTCTATTTGGGTTGCTATCGATACAGCAGAAGCAAAACAGTTTGCTGCTGCTGCTGCTGCTGCTCTCGAGCAGCTGCAGCGTAACGGGCTTCTTATACTTGCGGTGGGGGGAGCAGCAGCAGCAGAAGTAAGCAGAGTGTTTTATTTCAATTGTGTTTTGTTTTTTATTTCATCTGTCTTTTTTTATATTCTTTTCCTTCTTGCAACTCAAATTAGGCCTCTTATTCAGGTGTACAGACACCCTAGCAGCAGCAGGAAGCAGGGTTCCCGAGCTGCTGCTGCTGCTGCTGCCGCTGCTGCTGCTGGTGTTTCTGTTGCTGATGCTGCTGTTTCTGTTTCTTCTGTTGCTGCTGCTTACTCAGGGGCTTGCTGCTGCAAGCCGCAGCTGTCTATACACCGGGTTCCTTGAGCTGCAACGAGGGGAGTGGCCCGAAGCCCTTTCTAAGGCGGCTGCAAAGAGAGAAGATATCTGCATAGTCAGACCCTCACAAACCCTAAACCCTAAACCCTAAACCCTAAACCCTAAACCCTAGGATTCTCTGCTGAGTTCTGAAAGGGTTTACAGCTGAACAGCTTCTTGGGTTTTGTTTTTTCTTTTTTTTGGTTTTTTATTTTCTCGCTTATCTAGTTGCTGCATTTCCTCTTCTTCTTCTGCATTTGTTTTATTTATTTTTCTTTTGTTTTTATTTTATTTCTGTTTATATTTGTAATATTAAATTTAATTTTTTTCTTTTTTTTTATTTCTCCTCAGGCTGTATGGAAGAAGCCACCATGGGCTGTGGGGGCCTCTGCGCCCATCGGCGAATCAGCAGCAGCAGCAGCACCAGCAACAGCAGCAGCAGCAGCAGGAGCAGCAGCAGCAGCAGATGGATTGATTGACGAAGATTCTCTTATAGACCCGAAGGAGAGTTACACCCCGCTAGGCAAAGGTAAGCTGCTGACGGCGTTTCTCCTCATAGCCCCCAATTAGGGTTTAGGGTTTAGGGTTTAGGGTTTAGAGTTTAGGGTTTAGGGTTTAGGGTGTGAATCCCCAGTTTCAAGTTCATAACGAGCCGTTTTCTGTTGTTTCTTAGCCTGTTTG